GTTATCCCACCTCGGACACTAATAGCCGCACACGGATGTTCCTCAACGCGGCCCCATCGACAGATGGAGAGGACTATTAGTCAGGCTTATTGGTTATCTTGTATTGGGTTTTTAAACTAAAATGGAATGATGTTTTAATTAGTCATGATTTAATACTGTTTTAAGGGGGGGTGGGGGGTGTTTGTATTATATGTTTTATTGGATTGTTATTTTAAACGTGCTAACCGCCCAGATTGGACTACCATTGGGCGGGATACAAATAAATTTTATTATTATTATTATTATTAACCTCTGGCCTGATCCAATGCACCATTTCTAAAATGTGCATAAGAGACTCCAGCCTTGAAACATCCTATTTTCTTCTGAAATGAGGAAGGGAATGGTGGTGACATTATATAATGTCATTTTGACAAGTTTGCCAACTCGAGATGTTCCTAGGAAGAGCTTCCTCAAACCAGCAAAACTGGAAGAAGATAACCCAAGAGTGTGGAAATGTAGCAATAGGGATAAGAAATCTGTAGCCCTCCAGATGTTACTGAAATCCCATCATGCCTGGACTGGCTAGCACTGATGGAAGCTTGTACAGCAACAACTAGAAAATTACTAGCAATATTCAAACCAAATAGATCAGCCTAACACAAGAAGCTGGCTTACCTAGAGAGGCTACAAGCTCCAAACTCTCCTCCATGACCTCCGCATGCAGTGCCTTTTGGTTCGGACATAGTAGGGCCCACTCCTCATTGGTGAAATCCACAGCCACTTCCTCAAAGGTCACCTGAAAAGCATGAAATATCTCCTCTTTACTCATGGAAGAAAGAAGTCATGCAAGGCCAAAGAAGCTCCAGTGAAAAATTCAGGTTTTTGGGAGCAGCTCTGCCCAGTGGGCATCTTAGATAGAAACAAAGGGGTTATTCAGGCCCAGGGAGATATGTGGTGGACAGAGGAATCCAGATAATCTGCTATCTTGCTTTCCAGCAATCCTGATCCTACCTGATCCAGCTGTTCAGAAGCCGCTTCTCTTGCATCACAATTTAATGGCAAGCGGGTAGATACTGCTGGTATCCTTGATCTAACTCCTGCAAAGGAGAGAGAAAAAGTGTTGATTATTATTACTGCTACTATTACTAGTACTACTATTAATCACTGTCATCATAATTATCATTACTTGTACAGAGACAAAGTAATAATTTATTGGTTCAGGATTTTATATTATGTATTTTATTGTTGTTAGCTGCCCCGATTGTGCTCAGAGGGGTGGGATATAAATAAATTATTATTATTATTATTATTATTATTATTATTATTATTATTATTATTATTATTATTAGAGTCAATCTCGACCTATGGTGACCCTGTGGATGAGACATCTCCAAGACTCCCTACCCTCCACTGCTCTGCTCAGGTCCTGCAATTTCATACCCGTGACCTCCTTAATAGAGACCATTAAGTTGGCATGTAGTGACACTCGCAACACATACCTTTAAAAACCCTTATATCCTGCACCTATCAATGTAGCAATAAAATACAACAAACTAATAATAAAATCTAATGAAATGTAATAAAAGCCAGGCAAGGGTCTGGAAATCATGTCCAATTTAAGGAGCCTAGTATGTTTAGACTGGAGACGAGAAGGCTAAACATACCTTTTAGTTTAGCCTTCTAAAGAGCTATGTTTAAAATTTTGAAGGGATATCATATTGAAAGTGGAGCAAGTTTGCTTTCTACAGCTCTGAGAGAAATGGATTCAAACAATAGGAAAAAAGATTCCACCTAAAAAATTAGGAAAAACCTCCTGATGGTAAGAGCTGTTCAACAGTGGAATACACTGCCTCAGATTGTGGAGGACTCTCCTTCTTTGAAAGTTATGTAACTGAGGCTAGATGGCCATCTGTCAGGAGTGCTTTGGTCATGTGTTCCTGCATGGCAGAATGGGTTGGACTGGATGGCCCTTGGGGTCTCTTCCCACTCTGTGATTCTATGAATATAAAAACAGTGGCTGGGATCCTACATTGCAATCTACATTTCGTAACTTTACAAATTCGTAGCATTGTTGCAGAAAAACAATGAAACCCTGTTAGAGAATTATGAAGGTACGCACGGGGGAAGAATGCTCCAACACATCCTAGCTGGTGTCACAATATGCATTAGGGTGGTGAAGGGTCTGGAAACTAAGCCCTATGAGGAACGACTTAGGGACC